GCACCTGGAGGATATCATTCGACAGAAGAAGAGATTAGAGCAGGACAGATCACAGGTACATGATGAACTACACTCTTCTTTGGGTTTCCAAATGAAAACACTGAAGACACAATGTTTTGTTGTTTGTAATAGACAAGGGAAACCCTGCAGCAGGCGCTGGAGAGCCTCAACATGAATGGCTGCTCAGTGGAGGATCTGGGCCTGGACTTCACACTCCCAGGATTCCCAAACATTGAGCTGAAGAAGGGAGGCAAAGATATCGCTGTGACGATCTACAACCTAGAGGAGTACCTCAGGGTATATATGGGGCTTTGATAAGATGATGGGGCTTGTGAATCAATAATGTTTCTCTTAAGTCTAGGCCAAAATTTGTTTTGTTAAACTGTTCTTTGTATGTAACATTCTGTGCTATCCTTTTTTCCAGTTGGTGGTCTACTGGACTCTAAACGAAGGTGTGTCCAGACAGTTTGAATCATTTCGTGAAGGATTTGAGTCTGTATTCCCACTGCATCACTTGCAGTATTTCTATCCAGAAGAGGTAAGTGTGCTTTAAACTAAACTGGACTGGTGAAGTGGAATGTTTTGAACATGTTTTTGTGCTGCAGCTGGACCAGTTGCTGTGTGGCAGTAAGTCAGAGACTTGGGATGTGAAGACGCTTATGGAGTGCTGTCGACCGGACCATGGGTACACACACGACAGGTGAAATGATTTAAATATGCAGTTGGTGCATAATCTTTTTAAAGAGCACAGGTCGTGTTGGACCAGGTGTATTCTATAGTTCACTGTTTTTTGCTGTGTGTTCTCAGTCGTGCTGTGCGGTTCCTGTTTGAGGTGTTGAGCAGCTTTGATGCCGAGCAGCAGAGGCTCTTCTTGCAGTTTGTCACAGGGAGCCCCCGACTGCCAGTGGGAGGTGAGATGTGTAGTGCACATTACAGTACATGTGTGAACAGGGTGCTTTTTGGTTGTTATGCCACTAAGCCTGTCCTTTTGTTTGTCAGGATTTCGGAGCTTGAATCCCCCGCTGACCATTGTGAGGAAGACTTTTGAGTCGTCGGAGAACCCGGATGACTTCCTCCCATCGGTCATGACCTGCGTCAACTACCTGAAGCTGCCTGACTACTCCAGCATAGAGATCATGAGAGAGAAACTGTTGATTGCAGCTCGAGAGGGCCAGCAGTCCTTCCACCTTTCCTGATCTCTTCACATCTCACATTTAAATGCCTTCAACAGCGACTGATGAAATCATGACTTCCTCTTTAGTTTTTTGTAATCACATACATTAAGGCTCTGTACAGCCTTCTTGTTAGAGAAAGCAGCTTGCAGAAGAATAAGACTCTAAATATATATTTGCTGCCCCGTCTCTCAAAAAATGTATAAAAAGAAAAAATGGAAAAGTGTTCCATGACTCGCAGAAGTTAAAGTATAAAAGAGTAAAACCTATATCAGTAGTTGAGTAATGTTAAAAAAAATGAAAACATCTGGGTGACATTTTAAACTGCATTACTATGTGATATTTAAAAAGGGACGTTTCCTTTCCGAAGCGACGGACTGCGTCACTAACTGTGGGAAGAGGAGGGGGAGGGGGGTCCATTGAGCAAGCTAGGTTTACTTTAGCTCCAAAGATCATTTGTACAGACAAATTTGCAGACTTTGCTCATTCTACACATTTGATAGAATAGTTCTTTGTTCTGACGTCGCTCCTCGGTTCGTCTGTTCGGTTCTGTATTATATCGGCCCCAGTTTGTGTGTTGCTTTTGAGTTCTGCTTCTCCCTCTGTGTGTCTCTGCTTCCAGTTGTGATGGTGAGAGTTGCTGTTGGTTGAATGCGGGTAGTGACGAGCGATCATTACCAGAGGTGGGCAGAGAGCATGCCGAGAGCCTTGAGTAACTCTTTGGATCCTTTGTTTTACCACTATATAAAAAGTGCAAGTTACGGTATCGGCAAAAAATCATCACAAGTTGCACACATACTCAAACTCCTATTAAATGACATTGCTTCTTTGAAATATTACCCAATTACCCAAAAAGTTACTCAAAAATGAAAACTCTCCCTACCTCTGACGTGATCATTATTCCCGTTTACTCATTTGATTGATTGAGTTCTGGCCTCCTTTTTATTTTGGAGAGCTTCAGCCATGTGTTGATCAGGTGAATTTGCTTTTTGCTCCATTTTTAAAAAAATAGTTAGTGTCTTTTCGTTGGGCCCTATCTGGATGTGTGGGGTTTTCTTGGCCTGACAGAGCTCTGAGCAACCCCTCAACACATAAATGTAGCTGGGCACAAAGTTTGGCTGGTCTTCTTGTTTCATAGCAAGCATTTCAAGTTCATTTATGGAGTTTAAAGTTTGTACGCAGCGCCGCACACTGTTCCGGAGGTGCGAATGTCTGCTTTACCTTTTATAATTTTCTATTTGGTCTTTATTTCTTGCTGTAGTTGATGATGATGATTTATTATTTTTTTCTCTGCACTGCTGGCTTGGAACAAACCGTGGTGTGCACCTGCAGTCTGTGGCCAGGGGAGGGCGCCACTGTATGCTCTCCTGGCTCAATCGTTCATGTGCTGGTTTCTAAGATCTGCAATAATTTACTGCATCAGGTTCATGTTTTTAAATGAACATAAATAAAGTAACTGTTTGACTCATGATTGCTTTATTTTATTTTGAATTTTTATTTTATTTTTTACCAGTGCTCTTTCATTATGGGATTTCACACATTGCCATGGTGACTGAAAAGTCAATTTCCTGCCTCTAAACTGGGTATCCAATTACCAAGAATATGTCTTTTTGTGTTTATCAATGACGAGGCAGAGCTGTGTTGGTAAATGTTGTTTTCTTTATGTCTCGTTCGTCGCTGTGGGATCTATTTCTGGACAAGATGGATGAAACCACAGGGAAAACGGCCCACATCTCATTAATGACCACAGGAGTTTCCATTGATCGCTGTGACTCCATTCACATGCTGCTTTTAATAATGGTGTGTACACAGAAGGGCTATATTGTAAAACGCTTCCTGACTTCATCCATACTATGCAGCGTTTGTGGTGAATTTATGTAGAAATTATCCAATCAATGTGGTCACTAAAGGATTCAAAACAAAATCTTCAAACACATTTATTATTGAAGAATATCATATACTATTCTAATAATTTGGCATTATTCACACCTCAACCCGCCCTTAAAATGTGAAGGAATTTTACTAGTTCCTGACCTGGGAAATTGATCCATAATGTAGGGTAATCACTTCTGGTTTGTCACAAGTATTTGGAGTTGGTTTGAAGGAGAAATGAAGTCTCTTTTCCCAAATCACTGGCCATTCATAGCATAGGCCTATACAAAACCACAATTTAAAATCCACAATTTAAATTCCTCAAACTTCATTGAACAGTGTAAATAGCAAATCTGAAGTGTTGGATATGGGGCCCTCAATAAAAGAACTGCTTGGTGAGATAAGTGGATCTTTAAAGCTACTGTTTATATTAGACTGGCCGATCCAGCTCTGTTGTATTTTCATATACAACACTGCTGTCTGAGTCTGACAGTAGAACAGGGGGACACAGTGAGCTTGAACAAAGACCAAGAGGGAGGAACAGGTTTCACATCTGCCATCTGCAAAAATCAAATAAACAGGCTATGGATGCTAGCTTTAAGCATGAACAGAGGAATCATAGGACTCCCTGATAGGTCCAACAAAATTTGTCCAATTTGTAGATTTGTGCAAATGATGAGGTCTGTATGTGTAACTTAAAATGGGCTAAAGCTAGATCACTGCATCAGAGTAAATGAAATTCCCATCCCTCTCTAAATATATTGTGTAGCCTTGGCTTTCAGGCACAAAAAAGAAAAAAATCTGGTGTAAGCTTAATCATTATGGTCATTCTTGTATTTTTGTCTAATCGTGCTCACACTAAAAACGCTTCTCAACCAGTTCAACAGAAGTGTAACAGTTTACTGAGTACAAATATTTACACACAGGCATGAATTAATGAGCAGGTGTCGCACTTTACTACAGGAGGGAAAACAGGAGCACTTTACGACTACACCACAGTCTGAAAGGTAAAAAATCTCACAAAAAAAAAAAAAGTATTTAAATGTTTGCACATGGCTGATTATATTGATTGTGTATCTATAATTGTGTTCACAGAATTACAGTATTTTATTTCCACCTCTGTGATTAGCCCTTGTGTCTGACTTGGCCTCAGTGCAGTTTTGGTTACTCTGTCCATCAGTGTCAACAAATGCAACACGTCACTATGTTGTGTTGGGCATGTGGTGCTCACACTGCTTTTCTAGGCTTAACCCTTCATGTGACCATTAAGCAAATTTGTTAATAAATAATAAATTATAGCAACCAATGAGAATATAACATGAAGAAGAAATCAGCCTAACTATAAATGGAATGCAATATGTTCTCTGCACACGCCATACAATCTTAAATTCCCTTATTAATTAAAAAAAATACCACCTTGATCAGATCAAGCCCATTCCATGAAAGTCTTTAATTGGAACATTTCAGAGATTTCTTCAGATGCTTTTCAATTCACTTGGCCACATGTCTAGTCTTGAATAAATATGAATATAAATAAATATGTGTTTTTTGGTTGAGATTAGATAATAATCATATTCCTTTTCAACCATATTTCATTTTGGGAGCAGGTGTAATTATCTCTTGCTTGCGGGTATGTTCCACTTGTACCTTCCATGTCAGAGAGGAGCGGATGAGCCCTGATAAGGAGACAGAAGCTCCAGCAAAGGTGGTGTGTCGTCAGCGTGTGTCGTCAGCAGCCCCCCTCCTCCTCTTCCTCCTCTCTCTCCCCTCTCTGCTCTCCCTCCCTCTCTCTCCTCTTCCTCCTCTCCTCCTCAGTACCAGTCTGCTCGAGCCTGCCTACTCCTACACAGCTCCGGCTCAGCATCCCCACTAACTGCCTTCTGTCCCTGCTAAAAGAAAGAAGTGAGCTCTGGTTTGAAGAAAGACAGAAAAGAGCCTCATCACACCTCCTCCAGGATGACCACCACTCCACCTCCATGGATGCTCCTCGCCTTGTTCTTCTTGAGGAGCACTTTGGCGTCTCCGTTCCAGCTGGCTCCGGACACCCCTGCCCCTGCTGAACCTGCTCCCACCAGGCCCACCCCTCGGCCGGACCCGTGTGAGGGAGTGCCCTGCCTGAACAGAGGCTCCTGTCTGGCCCTCACCTCTGCGGGGCCACTACAGGACACCTGGGAGTACACCTGCACCTGCCGCCCGGGTTACACCGGTCGCAACTGTGAGGTATGAACTCTGTTACTCTGAACAACAAGTGTATGTGAGCACATAGAGCTGCTGTTTGCGGAGGCTTTTGTGCTTTAATAATGTAATGATATAATAATTTGATGGTCTCATGCTTAATTTAACAATTTATGTTAACACAATCTTTTAAAATGATTTGAAATGATTAAATATAAAAGCAACCACATGCATGCAGTATATTCTTTAACATAAGCTGATGCAGCACTTTACATACATGAATAACATACACACTTGTTGAGGGCATTAACATGACTTCAGTGGACCTATAAATAAAATGATTTTCAACTGTAAGCCCTGGTCCCAACTATTATAAATGTGTATGAGTACAGCGTTTGTAACAGAGCACATATCAATCTCTATCCCACACAAAGTGGGAACAAATCTGTCATTGTTCCAGCGATACAGTGTCACAGGTTATGACAGAAACAGCAGGTGCTCTAGTGCAGACAGCAGGCTCGCTTCATGTTTTCACACTTAACATTATTCTCTTTTCACTTCACTCTTGTTCATTTGATCAAATAAATGATACTATTATGATTTGTTTCCTTTCTCTTTAGACAAAATGGCTGCTTTGCTGTTTTTCTTTAAGAAGTTGAAGTATGTCTAATAAGAATCTCTTGGTTTATACTTTATCAGCATCTGCACACCCTTGAGTAATACCTGAGAATATTTTACTTTATGATTCAACTGAATTCCATCTCTATACTTACAGACAATGTGAAGCTCATAATGTTTGACTGGTTTTTGTTCTTCTTTGTGAATATATTTGTGTGCTCCTTGCCTCTGCTTTCTACTGGTCACATGTGCTGTCACTGAGACATGGAGATGAATGCTGGGGTTGCTGTGGCAACAGGAGAGGAGAGAAAGAGGAGCAGAGTGTGTTGGTTTGTCAGTGCTGCTCTATCACCTTTCTGACATAACAACTGTGTTTTGTCTTAAAGAAAGTCAGTCATTTTTCTTTTACGTAGCCGGCATTAGTTTGAATAATGTTTGTTTAGAGGGACGCTTTACTCATTTGTTTTGCCTGAAGGCTGACGACTACATCATAAGACTGTGAACCAAACTAAATGGTTTTGCTTTTGCTTATTGTTCCACACATATTATGTTGAATGCCTTTTTCTGGACTGAATCACACTTGCAATGCTAAAGTATTATTTCTTTTTGCAATAAAACATGAGCTCCACCATCACCATCGCCACCACCACAACAAAGTGGTGATAATAAATAATATATATATATATATATATATATATATATATATATATATATATATATATATATATATATATATATATATATATATATATATATATATATATATATAACATTGTATATCTGTGATTCTTTAGGGGTTACAACTGCTCATTTCTGGGCTGTTTTTTCTATTGATTTTGCATAGGTGATGCAGAGGTAGGTAGATAGTCCCATGCTCACTGAATAATACTCTTATTCCCTTATGTTGAAGCCTCAACTCTTTTCACCAAGCTATGTTCAGATAATTTTACATGATTTAACTAAGCCTTAAAGATCTCCACATATGCAATTATAAGAAGAAACATCAAACAAAACTAAATAGTTTGTTATTTGTGGGAACTATGATCAATTTGGAACAGTCACATAATGTCCCTTTTGCTCAATACTTAAATCAGATCTCCTGCTCAGAGCAGCACTCCACTATAATGGCAATACTCTTGAGTCATGCTGAGATACAAACAGCAGGATAACTCTGCTGTGGCGTCATAAAGGAGAGAGGGGACAAGGTGACCGTCTGGGTGAACTTCAGCACGGTGGCCAACAGGTGGCAGCTGTGGCCCCCGGTGTCTCTCTCCACGTGAATATGCAGCCGGGGTCCATTTATCTCTCCACAGCTTCTATGTGAATGTGAGGGAGACAAATGAACCTGCAGGCTGTACAATATGACGTCAAAAGTCTTTTCTAAGAGTCTCCTTGGCTGTGCTGCTCAGGTTAATGTCTTGAAATCAAACATTTGAATTGAAATATTGAAATCAGTTAAGGTTACACAACAACAGCCTTCATTTTTGTGAAGAACTTGTTTCAGAATAATTGAAGTTGCCTGAGAGTGTAAAAAGACTGAGGCCACAGCACAGTAAGAAGTTTTTGGGTTTAACGTCCGGGCTGCTTGGGTCTTTCTGTGCATTGGTTTCTTCTCCGCACCTAACCCTAACTTCCCCAATCACCCCAAAACATGCACAATAAGTAAAATTATCCAGCCAAGGTAGTCCTGACCAAGCCTAGCTCATGATCTGGAGATCCCCGCAGGAGGGTAAAATTCAGGAGGCAAATTCCAAGCCTGGCTGAGTTCCCACTGTAGGAAGTATTATAACCTACAGTAGCGTAGGGCGGATAATAAGGACTGAGCTGGCACTGTCCTCGTCACAGCAGCGCAATATCCCAAACAAGCAAAATTATGAAATCAATAATTGTCCAAGAACAGCACTGTGAGGAACTACTGAGAAGTTAACTGTCCCCTTTATCCATTTTTTCTGCTTGGGTTTAAAGCTACTATCACATTGTTGTTGCCTCTAAGCAGTTTTTGTAATGGCATTTTCACAGATTTTTATGATTTTCTAATTTTGACTTTATTTAGTGGGATTATAACTACTGTAAATATAAATTACACCAAGTTTTACACCAACCAAGAAACAATTTTAAAAGAAAAGTTGAAAATTATGTTGAAAATGACTCTAGGGACACACTAGGGAGAATTGTGCCCAAAGGTTCAACAAAATAAAGGTGTTTTCTCTGTATTTGTCAGATAAGAATTTCTGTGCACATTGGATAGTTTTTTTTTTCCCTTTGTTATAGAATTTCCTAGTTTGATGTAACACAATTTCTAACTGGGAAGTAAAATCTTAAACCTAAAAAATGTCCAAACTGGGATTAGCGTGAATGTTAATATAAAAATCTTAAATATAATGATATTGTAATGTGTTTTAGTAAAATGAGTCGTGGAAGCTGTCATAGGCTCTTCAACCTTTATATTTTGTTAAGTAGCCAAACAAGCAAAGAAATGCAGTGTTGAAAAATGGCACCATGAGGAACTATTGATTCTCCCTCACACTTGTTGCTATACTCAGTATTGATGATCCTAGTGGCTGGGTTTAACGGGGAGTCTGAATTTTTGCTTGTGCGAAAGTATAGATTTAAAGGCGCATACTTTTTCAGACACGCATTGCGTTTCTTTATGATTCATAGCTATCCAATCATGTGTCTTGCAAAATGTCTTCTTTGTGTAGTTTGTTTTGTTAAAAGTTTACACTTACATGTTTACGGAGCATTTAATCACTTTTCAGCACAGATATTAAGCAACATGATGCTACGAACAGATGCTGAGATGATTTAAATGAGTCCAACAAAAGTGTATGGATTACTACTCGAAAAACATGAGACGATATTATAGAAAAAAGAAAAAACACCAAGATGAGCTGTATGATTCACAGAGGTGGGACCAAGTCATTGTTTTGCAAGTCTCAAATAAGTCTCAAATCTTTCACCTCAAGTCCGAGTCAAGTCCCAAGTCAAATACAGGCAAGTCCAAGTTGAGTCTCAAGTGACTGGCCCTCAAGACCAAGTCAAGTCTAAGTCGTCTGCTTGAGCTTCAAGTCATTTCAAGTCATTAAACCAAAATACCAAATATAGCTTAGATTTTAGCAATTTATATGACTATTAAGCTAAATTGTACTTTTCCTTTTTAAACATCTTGACAAGATCTTAGGGTGAATCATTATGGTCAGAATAGAAAGAATTAAGATTTAAGTGCTTAATAACAGTTATTTTGTCTGCACTGAAATGGAAGGATCATGTTCATGATGTATCATCATGTAGTTTCCTCTGTTGCACTATATTCTACTGTATATTACTGTAGTACATTTGAGGATACGACATCACAGTACTTCAGTTACATCTAAAGTAACAAACAGAAGTGGGAGCAAAATGTTCCAGTTTGTTCCTGTAAAATTAAGCACCACATTTATCAACTGTAAAGAGAAAAGCATTTTCTAAAAACATACATTTTTTAGAAGGAGCATCAAGTCTTCTCAAGTCACAGGCCTCAAGTCCGAGTCAAGTCCCAAATCATAGACCTTCAAGCCCAAGTTAAGTCCTAAATCTAAGTAAATTTTATCAAATCAAGTCTCCAGTTCTAAAAATAGTGACTCAACTCTGAATTTGGTCCAAGTCACGACTTGCAAGTCCCCACCTCTGATGATTCCTATTACCAAATATTCTTCATGAAAACTGAGCCAAGCCTAAATTAAGACCTGGTAAATAATCTAACTAACTTTTCATTTTTTCCCCCCTGTTGTTTTATTGATAGTCTGGAAGTGTGCATCATTGTTAGTTTTATCATCCCAGCAAAATGCAACTCTCGTCTCTGAATGATAAGAATGTTCGGAACGCACTGAGGAGTAACTTTGAACCACTGAAAACCATTTAAAATTAAATAGTTTTACAGAAAAAATCAGGTACAGGATCTTTAATTCATCACAAACTTGTGCCACATTCCACAAAGCATAAACGTGGCTTAAGTCGGCACCATTGCGCACACACACCTGCAGACTTCATTGCATTTTTCCAATTATCCGCACGCTAATCCTGCTTGGCGACTCCCCTTTGCTTCTTTACAGTGTAGTTCCTCATACACCCCCGCTTGTTCTTACCTGGGTTTAATACAAAGGCACAGTTTTGTAGCCCCCAAGCTGTTTTGGCCCTGGCATTTTCCGGGAGTTATTAGCTGCTCAGCCTGTAGCTTATTTATTATTGAAAGGGATGTAGTGATGGATTTGGTAACTTGCTGTAGTACACATTAGGGCAGCAGCAGAGCTAAACAGACATCGGTCACTGGGAAAGGGGATTCTGGGGGCTGTTAGTGTGTCGTATTATGCAGGCAGAAATAGAATAGTAGTGAGTAGTACGCCGTAGATTGTATTATTATGTGTGCAGTTGTTATTAGTTTGGCGATA